CTTTACAAAAAGGCAATCGTTTTGAGGCTGTAATGCAGGGGGGGGGGGGCACGATCCCCTCGGCGGCGCCAGCAACGACCCCCTGGCACACGTGATTTAAAGAAATTTGTCGTGCCCCACGGGGTGTATTCATCAGCCCCGGGGGGGGGGTCCGGTCATTTGTTAATCACAAGCTGGCCTTCGGGATACCCGACGGTGTCACAGAGTGAGGGCGGGATCATCGCTTGAACTACTCAGCTTCAGAGCGACATTTATGGCCCGATTCGTAAAGTTGCGAACGGGCGGCGCAGGTGGGCGTCCTTTTCGTAACAGTTCCGTTGCTGCGGAACCTTTTTTTCACTCGCAAGGAACATTCTGCTCACACGACGCGGCAATTCTAACGCGTTCACGGATGGAGGTTGCCTCATTTTCAACATCGGGATCTTGCCTGAACGAAAGGAGGCGCACGAACCGCATGAGGCACTCATCTTCAAAAGGGAGCGCCCTCCGTAGTTAATGACACGGACCACCTGCAGAGACTTGTGAGGCCTCGGATGCGTTCAGGCTGGCGGCCTTCATCTATGGCATACAGTCATCGGCCTGACCTAAGGAACCAGAAATAAGGAACGAAGCCCCTTTTTTATCCCATGGAACACCGCATAAGGAACGATAAATAACACATAACGCATGAGGAACTATACATGACGCATGCAAGCCTGAGGAACGACCGAGCCCCTGTTGAAAAGCAAGTGCTCCTTATTCAAGCCGCTCACTGTACAGCAACTTCGAGGCTCCTGCGAGCCGGCGGGACCGAGGGAGCAACTTCCGGAGCCAACGCCCAACCATCTGCCGAGGGCGAAGCTCACGAGCGGCTGGTGAACAGGGGGCTCGGGACGAGAGGGCGTGCTGCGTCATCGGCGGTCTCCTCGGAGCCTCCTCCTCCTGCTCGCTTCTCCTCCTGCTCGCTCCTGCTCGCTCCTGCTCGCTCCTGCTCGCTCCTGCTCGCTCCTGCTCGCTCCTGCTCGCTCCTCCTCCTCCTCCTCCTCCTCCTCCTCCTCCTCCTCCTCCTCCTCCTCCTCCTCCTCCTCCTCCTCCCCCTCCTCCCCCTCCTCCTCCTCCTCCTCCTCCCTCCTCCCTCCTCAGGATGCACGAGAGGCGGGCCGTCCTCGACCTGCGACCGGAGCTTCTCGGCCTCTCGCCGCAGCGCCTCGCAGGCGAAGGCCCGGAGAAGGATGTGCACAGAGAAGCGTGCCCAGGAGGGCAGGGGGGGCACGGCACGTCGTAGGGGCTCGCAGGGGTTCCTAGAGGTTCCTGGGGATGCCTGAGGGTTCCTAGGGGTTCCTGGGGATTTTCCTAAGGGTTCCTAGGTCGTGAAATCCTCGAGGGTCCTTGCAACGCGCGAGGACCTGCGCGGTTTGGGGGGGGGGGGGCGGGGACGGCGGGAGATGACGAGGAGGGAGGGTGGGGGCACCGCGGAGGAGGACAGGGACAGGGAGGGACGAAGCGGCGAGAGGAGGGGGAAGACAATGGGGGAGGGGGAGGACCGAAGAAGAAGGGGGGCAACGGGGGGGGCGCTCGAGGTCTGACTGGTGCCAACGCCGTCGGGGACGCCGCTGCCGCCGCAGGGCGTCGTCGTCGTCGACGCCAGCACTGCCGCCTCCAGTTCTCGTCGTCGCGGCCGACGCCGCTGCGGTCGCCGTCGCCATTGCCGCCGCGGTCGTCGTCGTCGCCGCCGCCGCAGTCATCGTCGTCGTCGTCGTCGTCGTCGTCGCCGTCGTCGTCGTCGTCGCCGTCGTCCTCGTTGTCGTCGTCCTTGTCGTCGGCGTCGTCGTCGTCCTCGTGGTCGTCGTCGACGTCGTCCTCGTCGTTGTCGTCGTCCTCGTCGTCCTCGTCGTCGTCGTCGTCCTCGTCGTCCTCGTCGTCGTCGTCGTTGTCGTGGCCGTAGTCGTCACCGCCGTCGTGGGCGTGGTCGTGGTCGTGGTCGTGGTCGTCGCCGCCGCCGTCGAGCGCCCGGGGGGCCTGGCACTCGCGGCTCCGCTCCATGAGCTCGGCCTCCGCGCGCCGCCCCCGGGGGGCGCGGCGCCGCGGGAGGCGGCGGGCCGCCGGGGCGCGGAGGGCGCCTCCTCCTCCTCCTCCTCCTCCTCCTCCTCCTCCTTCCTCCTCCTCCTCCTCCTCCTCCCCCTCCCCCTCCCCCTCCCCCTCCCCTCCCCTCTCCTCCTCCTCCTCCTCCTCCTCTCCTCCTCCCTCCTCCTCCTCCTCCTCCTCCTCCTCCTCCTCCTCCTCCTCCTCCTCCTCTCCCTCCTCCTCCTCTCCCTCCCTCCTCCTCCTCTCTCCTCCTCCTCTCCTCCTCCTCCTCCTCCTCTCCTCCTCCTCCTCTCTCCTCCTCCTCCTCCTCCTCCTCCTCCTCCTCTCCTCCTCCTCCTCCTCCTCTCCTCCTCCTCCTCCTCCTCCTCCTCCTCCTCCTCCTCCTCCTCCTCCTCTCCTCCTCTCTCTTCCTCCCCCTCCCCTCCCCTCCCCCTCCCCCTCCTCCTCCTCCTCCTCCTCCGCCTCCTCCTCCTCCTCCTCCCTCCTCCTCCTCCTCCTCTCCTCCTCCTCCTCCTCCTCCTCCTCCTCCTCCTCCTCCTCCTCCCCCTGGCGGTGAGCGAGGTGGGGGAAGGGAGAAGGAGAAGGCCGTCCCGGAAGGCGGCGGGGCTTCTCAGGAGCCCTCGCGCCTGCCGAGAAATGTTTGTTCTGTCCTCGGGGAAGGCTCGGGAGACCTTTCAGGAGGCGGGGGGCCTTCCGAACCTTCGGAGACGGCCTTGTCTTTCTCGCTTCCCCCCCTCGCTCGCCGCCGATTAGAGCGTGTGTTAGCGCCAACGTGTGTGACTGTCCACCGAATCCCTACGACGCGACGCAGGCGGCGAAACAGGCCCAACACGCTGCTTGCTACCAGCGGGGCCGAACGGGGCACACGCGTATTGGTCCTCGGGCGTCGGGGGGGGGGCGGACATGGTGAGGGCGACGGCGTCAGAAGAGGGCGGGGGGGACAAGGCGGCGAGGGCCATTTTCCCTCGGAGGCCCTGGGGCCGCTGCTGGTAGCAGCACAAGCTTGGCCGAGGCACGACACGCGGTGCCAGTGCCCGCGGAAGCCGCCGCCTCTGACCTTCCGTGCGGATAGGGGACCCTGGCGAGCTCGATTGATAGCGCCTCTGCCGCACGGTCCGGGCTCATCGTCGCATCGGCCAGCAAACTTGAAGCATCGCTCGCTCGCGTGGGCACCACATCGGAAACAGAACAACAAAAACAGGCGGCGCACACGGAGCTGTCGGGCGGAGAGTGATGCGCAGAAGGTGCCCAGGCTCGCCCTCGGCACCAGGCACACGACGGAGGGCCGTAGGGTGAAGGCATGCGAAGCCTTCGCGCCCGAACGTCGGCATCCCGTCCCCACAGGCCAGGGTGACACCCTTGCTGCCAGGTGCCGCGCTCTCAGGGCTGGCTTCGTCCCCAAGGTCCCACTCCCGCTGCTCCCCCCCCTCCCCCCCCCCACACCCTCCCTGTCCTCGCTATTTGGGAGACAACAACAAGATACCGATACCGCTACTCCCCGGACCTCTTTTGGGGTGCGTTATGACCCGGGCTTCGAGGCGAATCCGGCGGTGGCGACGAGGGCCTCCGAGGAGGCCCCAAAAGGAGGGAAAACGGGCGACGGGTAGAGGGGTGGGTAGGTACCTGTTCCTCCTACGATCCCTTTATGGTGTTCCCATCCTACTTGAGGACCGCATCCAAAAATCATTTCGAGCACCCGGAAAAGTGCCAAAAGAACACCGAAACAGTGCCGAAACAGTGCCGGGCGAGCGTCTCCCAGGGCCCGACACGGGAAAGCCCTGGAGTCTCGGTCCCTTCTTGGGCGCTCGAGATTCTTCCTGGTGATCAAGACTAAAGTAGGTTGGAGCATCATAACGATCCCTATCCCCCTCCTCCTCCTCCTCCTCCTGCTCCTCCTCCTCCTCCTCCTGCTCCTCCTCCTCTGCTCCTGCTCCTCCTCCGCCTCCTCCTCCTTCTCCTCCTCTTCCTCTCCTCCTCCTCCTCCTCCCCCTCCTCCTCCTCTCTCCTCCTCCTCCTCCTCCTGCTCCTGCTCCTCCTCCGCTCCTCCTCCCCCTCTCCTCCCCTCCTCCTCCTCCTCCTCCTGCTCCTCCTCCTCCTCCTCCTCCTCTCCTCCTCCTCCTCCTCCTCCTCCTCCCTCCCCTCCTCCTGCTCCTCCTCCTCTCCTCCTCCTCCTCCTCCTCCGCGGGGAGGGGGGGCGGGCGACGAGGCCGCAGCGGCGGCGGCCGCGGGCGTCGCAGGGGCCCCGCGCCTCGAGCCACCCCGCCTGGGAGTCGCCGCTCTCCTGGCCGAGGGCGGGGGCCCCGCGGGCGCCAGCTTGCGCCTCTCTCGGAAGCGGCTCGCCCCTCCTGAGAAGTGTACGACGACTGCATCCATACACCACCGCCGTGCCAAGGCAGGGCCATCCCGGGCCCCAGGATGTTTTATACACCCTCTTGGCCTCGGCCAGGAGGGCGTATACACTACACCATCCTGGGGCCCGGGATGGCCCTGCCTTGGCACGGCGGTGGTGTATGGATGCCTTCTGCGAAAAGTGCTTTCTGTCTTCGGGGAAGGCTCGGAGGACTTCTCAGAAGGCGGGGGGACTGCCGAACCTTCTGAGAAGGCCTCCTCCTTCTCGCTTCCCCCCCAATCGCTCGCCGCCGGTCCCTTCGAGATGGCATGCCATTTCGCGCTGTGCATCATCGGGCCAAACCTGGGGATCCCAAAGCCGCGTGGTGGCAGACCGTGCGGGGCCTCACCGCACGGTCCGTCACCGCACGGTCTCGGGACCCTGGAGGCCCCGGTCGCCCGAGACATCCTCGGAGAGGGGCTGGATTCCCAAGACCGTGCGGTGACCCCCCGAATCCCCACCGACTCACCATGCGGTGTAGTCACCACACCGTCTTGGGGCCTCCGACGAACTCTGCCAGCAGGCTAAAACTCGACTGCCCTTCGAGACTGCGGGTCGCGGCTGTGTGGAGGTGGTTCAGACAAGCAGCGGCAGGAGGGGGAGGCAGGCGTTGCAGGCGGCGCCTGGCTGGACGCGGGGGGGAAAGGAGGCGACTTGTGGCGGCGCTGCGGGGGGGGGCTACTAGCAAAGAGACGGGCGGAGGCAGAGGTATTGTACGGGGCCCGACCACGAGACATCTTCCACACGAAACCCCACCCTGAGACCCCAGGAAGCCCATCGATCTCTGATGTGGGAACGTCACGCCCTCCATCGCAAAGCCATCGAAACCATCGAAAATTCAGGGCACCCTGGAGGCAAGCAGGGTGTCTCTCGGCGTGGGCCCCGGCTGCAGCACTGGGCGAGTGGGACTGAACGTCCAGCGGCTCGGCGGCCCCGCAGACTTGCTGCCTGGCGTGCGACGACGCGGACCGCGGGCGCGGGCGCGGCCACCCTGGCCGACGCCAGAGGGGGGGGAGGGGCAGCGCAGCACACAAAAAAGCCCCCCCCGCCGCCCGCCTCGCCCCCGTCCAAAGCAGGAGAGACCACCATCGAATCGATGAGCCGGATCGGCGATCGAAAGGAATCAGATCGGCGGGAATCGGCAGCCGAGTCGGGAGAAGTCGAATCGGCGGAAATCGGCAGCCTAGTATGTCTCCATGGAGAAAGCGGAGCCCGCATCGGAATCCGAAGCCGAATCGGATCGGAATCGGAATCCATCGACATCGACATCGAATCGAATCGGAAAGAGTCGAGATGAGCCCCCTTCCACAGCCCATCTCCCCTCTAAGCTGCTAGCAACGGCTGTGTGCGGGGGAGGTTCGGACCACCCGCGACAGGGGGGGGCCTCGTGCAGCACAACTCCTCCCGGCCTGGTGCAGCACAACTCCTCCTCCTCCTCCTCCTCCTCCTCCTCCTCCTCCTCCTCCTCCTCCTCCTCCTCCTCCTCCTCTTCTCGTACTCTTCCTCCTCCTCCTCCTCCGCCTCCGCCTCCGCCTCCGCCTCCGCCTCCTACCTGCCTCCGTCCCTCCTTCACCTCCAACTCCCACTTCCGCGCCCCCGCTCCCCGAATAGTGAAAAAATTAAGAAACACAAGAAGAAGCAGAACAAGACACAAAATACTACTAATCATAATACGTGAGAACAAATAAGAGGGAAAAGGAGGTGGAAGGGGATACAAATGCATGGAGGGAGGGGAGGAGGGAGGGGAGGTGGGATGCCTCGCTTGCATGCTCGCCATTTGCGCACGGCCAGGTCTCGAGTCACTCGAAACGGGCGGTGACCGCAAGGCTGTCCGGGAGCGGTCCGCCCCCGCCGCCGTCAAACCCGCGTGGGGCTCCTCCCCCGGCAGTCCGCATGGGGGCCCCCGGCTGCAACACGGGGCCCAAAGGCCCTCTTCTGGCGAAGCTTAAGGGAAGCAAGCTGCCCTCTCAGGCACGCTCTGAGGAAGCGGCGGAGAAGGAGGAGGGACGAGGCGGCAGCCAGGGGCGGCGGGAGTGGAGGAGCAAAGGGGGAGGATCAGGCCAGCCAGGCCTCGCGCAGTTCGGGCGTGCTGTCTTTTACGCGGTCTGGGACATCCCGGGGCGTCCCAGTGGGCGGCAGGGGCATCCGGGGGGAGTGGGGGGGGGGTGGTTGGGCCGCCCTGCTATCGCATGGGGGTATAGGAAGCCACATGCGAACCCTACCCCAACCTCCCGCGATTTCTGAGGGGGAGGGTGGGGTTCACTTCGTTCGGGAGCGCCCGAGCGAAGTGAACCCCACCGCGCCCGTCAGAAATCGTGGGGGGTAGGGGGTCGCCGCCCCCGGAACAGGGGCTCCACGTGCTCAGACGGGAGGGCGCGGCCTGCCTCCTGCGTGGGCGCGCGCCATGGGTCACCGTCGGAAGTGACGGGGGGGATGAGGATCGGAAGGCCCCTGCTGGGGTAAGGAGGCTGCCTCCCTCCTCGAATGTGGAGCGAGAGGAGATTGAAGCGAATATATGTGTTCATGTGTTGGACCGTAAACAACCGTTCAACATGAAGGAGTGCTTTCTCTGAATCCTTTTCCACGTTTCTTCCGTAACGCAGGGATCGACCACTAATGTTGAACTCCCTCCTCTGGACTCTTTGGGGCACGTCAAGAACATCTGAAAACAACAACCGAGAATGAGGCGGACCGCATCAGATTCTCATGTCTCTGTCTGGCCTGATAGCGGCAAGATTGCGGGGGTTCATGGCGGGCATCGGGGCGGCTCCTCGGTCTTTGAACCGATGCCTAAAAGTCACTAGAAGCAGCAGCATCGATCTCCGAACGAACGTGCCCCTGCAACGGGACTGGAAGAAGGGTTCTATGCCGAAGCAAGGCCGACGCCTCCCCGCACCCTGGACGTTCAGAGCGAGCTGGGTATCCTGCTCTGACCATGGCCAACTATCCCAGATAACAACACCCAGGGGTTAATGAAACACGGGGGCCAGGGGGATAGTAGACGATTTGCCCTGGCCAGTCGACGACGACGCGGAGGATGTGTTCCTCTTGCTCTGAGATCCTTGGCCCGTGCTCTTGAGATGCTTGGCACGTGCTCTTGAGATCCTACAGCTGGCCCGTGCTCTTCAGATCCTTGGCGTGAGAACCCCATTGCCATGCCACACGTTTTGATGATGCTGCCGCCCAACATAAGAAGATATCAGCTTCGATTCGTTATTCCCCCCCCCGCGATCAGAAAGTCCCAGCTGCCCTCTAGGCGTAGGTGGTTTAGGGAGTTTCCTCTCCCAACCGCCTTCTCCCCCTTCGGGGAGGGGTTTATCATTGTTCCCTGTTAATAAACGCCCCCTCCCCCAGGCGACTGGTAACCAACCAGGAACCATGAGGGCCCCCCCACCATGCCTTGCAAACCACCATGCAAAACACACGCTGCCTCCAAATTCGGAGCATGCGCAGCCAACCCGATGCGGCCTCCCCCCACCATCCCTGTCAAACAGCATTACCGAGTACACTTGGCGGCGGCGGCGGTGGCGGCGTCGGGGGCGGCGACGGCGGCGACGGCGGCGGCGGCGGCGACGGCGGCGGCAGCGGCGGCGGCGATTCGGCGGCGGAGGCGGCGGCGGCGGCGGCGGCGGCGGCGGCGGCGGGCGGCGCGGCGGCGGCGGCGGCGGCGGCGGCGGCGGCGGGCGGCGGGCGGCGGCGACGGCGGTGGCGGCGGATTGGCCCCCAGTAGCTTACCCATCCAAAGACGACTGCTGAATCTGCTGAGGCTCGGGCCAGACTCGGGCACTACGTCTGTGTCGGGTGGGCGGGTGGGAGTGAGCGAGACGGCTTGCGGGCGGGGATGGGGGTCGTGGCCCCTCCCCCTACCCCCTCCCCTGGACCTGGACGGGGGTGGTCGCGAGGGGCTGGAGCGTCGAAAATGGCCAAAGATGGCTCCAAGAGGGCCTCGGAGAGACCAAAATGACCTCCAAGATGGCTCGCGCAAGATGCGTCAAGATGGCTCTCAATATGCTCCAAGAAGCCCCACTAACGCTCCAAGACGGCTCCAAAAGGCCTCCGAACCCCCCAATGAGGCTTCCAAGACGCCAAAATCCTTCAAACGCATAAAGAAAATCACTGATGGTTGCCGTCTTGCCTTTTCGCGTCCGATGGCCATCTGGGGCCTCAAGATGGCTCCAAGATGGCCCAAGAAGGTCCCAAGAGGGGCCCGAGAGAGGCCCAAGACGGCCCCAAGAGCGCACGAAGAGCGCCCCAAGAGGAGCTCAGGAGGCGATGTGTGGCGTTCTGGAAGGGCAGCGCTAATTCAGGACCCCCGCGTCTGTGATCGGTCTCCTTCAAGATGGCCCCAAGAGCGCCCCTAAAGCTCCCAGAAGCGACCCAAGATGGCCCCAAGAGGCGCCCAGACGGCCCCAAGAGGCCTCCAAGAGGCTCCCCAAAGACCCCCATTAGGCCCCAAAAGGCCTCAAGAGGATCCCCGAGGCACCCACGATGCCCCCCCCCAGACGCTCAAAGAGGCCTCCAAAACAACTCCCAAGAGACACCCTAGGAGGTTCTTATGTTCGTCATGTTTTGTTCTCCTCATCCTTCTCCTCCTCCTTCTCCTTCTCCTTGTCCGCGTCCTCCTCCTCCTCCTTGTCCTCCACTTGTTCAGCCTACTCTTCCTCCTCCTTTCCTCTCCTCTCCCTCCCCCACATCCTCTTCCCCTTCCCCCTCCTCCTCCTCCTCCTCCTCCTCCTCCTCGCGGCGAAAGCAGCGACGACAGAATCGACGACGACGAAGACGAAGACGACGATGACGACAGCGGCAGCGGCGGCGGGAAAGAGGGGCGGAAGTCGGAGCAGCAGCACCACCACCACCAACAGTGCCAGCAGTACCGACAACAGCACCAACAGCAGCACCCGAAGCATTCGCTACCAGAGATCTCCCAGTTCACCGTTGTTGCCCACGCTGTGTCACTGTGCGCGTCTCTTCATCCCTTCTCCCGTGAGCTCTCCTGGACATCTTTTCTGGATGGGCTGGTGGGGATACGCGAAGCGTCAAGCGTCAAGCGTCAAGGATTCGGCCTTGCCGGCACTCTCTCCCGACCAACTCTGTCTTGGCCGGGGAGAATCAACTCTCAGGTGTGAAGGGGGGGTATGAATTATTATCTGGGGCTCGGGGTTACGGCTGGCCCTGCCCTGACGACGCAGACGTTAGCTTCCGACACCGCGCCGCAGACCGCCCCGACCTTGAGAGCGTGGATCAATGTTCGATCGATCACGGATCAACGCGTTCCCCTGCCATCCACCGATACAGCCGGACCTGGGGCAGAAGAACACTCTTCAAGAACATGAGACCCTCCCGCCGGCCAAACTGAGGAACATTCGAGGGTGCCCTCCCCCAAGATGCATAAAACATCCAATGGAAACGACGAACATTAGGGCACCCTCCCCGAACCGAGACCGTATGACGATTTGAATGAGCGGCCCCAGAGGTCCCGACATGTCCAGAGGCCTCCTAGATAGGGTCGGACTAGATGGGGTCGGAGAATCGCGCCGCATCGGCGATACATCGGCGATGTCTCGGCGATGTCTCGGCGATGCATCGGCGATGCACTGGCGATGCATCGTCGACGTCGGCGGTGCATCGACGACGTCGGCGTGAAGCAAATCGGGCTTCGAATCGAGCCGCATCGGCGATGCATCGGCGGTGCGGCGCGATTCTTCGACCCCATCTACTCGGACCCCATCTGGGAGGCCTAGCCGACCCCTTACCCAATCTTCAACACTATCGCGAGAGATCTGGGATCGAGGTCGAACAGATCATTGATCGAAACCCTCCTTGAATCTCTGGAGGCATGCTGAGGCGGCCACCGTAACCGTGGCCGTGGCCGTCGTCGTCGGCGTCGTGGCGGCCGCGATCGTCGTCGTCGTCGTGGTCGTCATCCTCGTCGTGGTGGCCGCCGCCGTCGCCGTCGCCGTCGCCGTCGTTGTCGTCGTCGTCGCCGTCGCCGTCGCCGTCGCCGTCGCCGTCGCCGTCGCCGTCGTCGTCGTCGCGGTGGCCGCCGACGTCGCTGTCGTCGTCGTCGTCGTCGCCGTCGCCGTCATCGTCGTCGTCGTCGTCGTCGTCGTCGCCGCCGCCGTCGTCGGCGTCGTCGTCGTCGTCGTCCCCTCCGACGTCCGCGAGGGCAGCGGCGGCTCCTGGACGGACTCGACCACGGCCTGCAGCCGCTGGATCGTGCCTCTGGGCTCGTGGCGCGCTCCCCCCTCGCTGCTCCGCCCCTGCGCCCTGCACCCTCTGCCGCCCCTCCGCCCTCCTCGCCCCTCCGCCCTCCTCGCCCCTCCACCCTCCTCGCCCTTCCCTCTGCCGCCACTCCACCCTCCCCGCCCCCCCGCCTCCCTCCCCTTGCGATCCTGGCGTCGCACCTTTTTCCGCACCCTTCGGTCCCAGTGTCGCTCCCTTCTCCCTCCCCTTCATCTTGGCGATCCCGCCTTGGTGGCAAACCCCAGGACCCCCCCCCGGATCGATACAGCTCGAAACACGCGGCAAAAAGATGGGGCCCATGGGTCATGCCGACCTGTTTGAGGATGCCATGATTTCTTGTTCGTGGTGTAGGATCTCCGGGCCCCTCCGATCGCCTCGCCGCCTTCCGCCTCGCCCCGCCTCGGCCCTCGGCCCTCCTCCCCCCAACCCTCCCCATCTCCCACCCACGCTCGGCCTCCCCCCGCGCTCCCCGACCCCCTCCCCCCCCCCCACCCCCCCCGCGCTGCACTCCTCCCTCCGCCCCCCCCCCCCCCTCGGCGCCCGTCACCCGCCGTGCACCCACTCCCCTGGGCCCCCCCCACCCCGCCACCCCCCCCGCCCCCTCCCGCCTTGGTCGGCCTCGCGCATCTCCCGCAGCTGCTGGGCCTGGGGCAGCCCGGTCGGGCGCCGCCGCTCCGTCGCGTGGACGCGGGCGGCCCTGGAACGACGGCGTACTCCTCCTCTCCTCCTCCTCGTCTTCCTCCTCCTCCTCCTCCTCCTCCTTCCTCTCCTCTTCCTCTTCCTCCTCCTCCACCTCCTTCTTCTTCTTCTCCTCCTCCTCCTCCTCCTCCTCCTCTTCTGCAATCGCCACCTTTCATCCTCTTCCTCCTTCCGCCTCTTCACCCCTCCCTTCCAACCTCCCTGCAACCCCTCTCTTCGCTCGCTTCTCCAGCTCCCTTCTCCACCTCGTCCTCCTCCTCATTCTTCCTCCGCCTCTCCCATTCCTGCTTCTCATCCTGCTCCGCCGCCCCCCTGCTCTCCCTGACCCCATACCCGTCCACAATTGTACATCCTGAAAACTACTATCCTCTCTCCCGTGACTCTGTCTCTGCCCAGTAAAAAGACGGCACTCTCCGCCTACTACAGGATGTCCAGTGGGTGTTTAGTCTGATGGTTCGATTACAATCCGATGGTGCACGCTGTTTCAAATTGGCGCTCCAGCTGTGGCGTGGGCTTCATTTTCGGATTGGAGCTTTGCTCCCGTTGTTCGGACAGGCGCTCTCGCCCATGCGCGGGTCATGTTCCCGGATCAGACTCCGTATTCTTCGTTGTCGCCCTCCTGCGCGGCGCTGCGCCTGCGCCCCGGCTGCCGCTGGCGCCGTCGCGCTGGCGGCGGCGACGGCGGCGGCGCCGCCGCATCGGGGTGGGGGGGCCAGGCCTCGCCGGTGACCTCCTCCAGCTGCCCCTCGGCCTCCTGTAGCCGCGCCTCGCGCGGGCGCGCGCGCGACGGGCCGCCGCCGCTGCTGCCGCCGATCTCGCCACGTCGGCATCCTCGGCGTCTTTGACGTTGGCGCCGCAGTCGCCATCCTCGGCATCCTCGGCATCCTCGGCGGCGGCGACGTTGTCGTCGGCGTCGTCGTCGGCGTCGGCGTCGTCGTCGTCGTCGGCGTCGTCGGCGTCGTCGGCGGCGTCGGCGTCGTCGGCGTCGTCGGCGGCGTCGTCGTCGGCGTCGTCGGCGGCGTTGTCGTCGTCGGCGTCGTCGTCGTCGGCGCTTGAGCCCGTCGCAGTCCTCGCAGGGCGGCGCCCTGGTGCGTGAAGGGTGCAGGCGGCGGCTCTCGGGAGCCGCCCTGGCAGTTCTGTTCGGGGCTGCTCTTGGTGTTTGAAGGGGCCCAGGAGCACAGAAATGACTACACACCAATCCCAGGACCCCCCTTATCTTCTCAATGTTCTGGATTGTCGGCCTTCCCCCCACTTCCCATAGTTGCCCACATTCCCTTGAAGTCGACACTTAATTGTGTGTGTTTCCCCTCCTGAGTGTTCTCGTGCGTTCCATGGCGTTTTGCGGAAGTTATCGGCGGCTTCCCGAGAAGACATGTGGGTTCGGGGTCAAGATCCGAACATCAGGGCGGGATCGGGATCAGGCGCTAGATGGATCAGGATTGGTGGCGGGATCAGGATCAGGTTCGGGATCAGGAGCGGGATGAGGGAGGGGAGAGGAGGGAGGCGGGGTTAAGAATCAGGACAGCACAGCTGCGAAATCAAAAAAAAGGCGGAGTGGAGGATCGGGCGGAAGAGGGACGACGAGAGAAAGGGGACCAGGAACCAGAGGAGGAGGAGGAGCAGGGAGGCGGGAGCGGACATGGAGGGGAGGATTGGAACGAAGTAGACGGCGAGGATGAGGATGATGAAGACAAGGGGGGCGACGAGGCGGAAGGTGGGAGAAATCGGAAAACCTATGATGACGAGGGGGAAGGGCAAGACGAAGACGACGTCGACGATGAGGATGTAGGGGAAAATGCGCAAATCATGAAAAGAGGACGAGGGCAATCATTATCAAAACGGAGCGAGACACAGGAGGAGGAGACGAACGAAGAGCAAGACGAGACAGACCGAAGAGGGGGGGAACATGGAGGACGGAGACAACGGATCGGTAGATTCATCTTAGTCTCATTTATCCTCGGCCTCGTTTTATTTATTTACGATTAAATCGGTAACCTCGGTGACGGGATGTGAGGCGTTCATCCGACAGTATTCCCAATCTTGCCGTGGTGGAGGCCGAGGGCAACGACGCGATCAACGCTGACCCCCTCCCCTGGCGCGCGAGGCGCGCCAAGGGCGGCGCAAGATGCGCCGCCAGGGGTCCTACGTCGGGGCTAGGACGAGGATCAGTCCGTTCCAAAACGTTCCGGAACGCTGCCAGAGCGTTCCCAAACGCTCTGAGAAGGCCGCGGCGCCCGATACATTCTCCAGAGCCGCGGGATCTCAGAGACTCTTGACTCACAGCCGATCCGCATAGCGCATAGTAAGGATGGGCAACCTTCCCAAGGGTACCCTTGCATCCTTGCCTCCTCGGCCCATCCTTGGCCACTTTCGTTGGCCGCGCCCCGCTTGATTTATCCTCATCCGAATTTATCCTCACCCGAACTTATCGTCGTCCTGGCCACGTCTCAGGTCCAGCACCGCCCCAAGGAAACCGCGCGTACCTGAAGCGCCGGGCGGCGGTGCTGAAACCAACGCACGCAGCACATTTCGCTCTCTCCCCCCCCACTTTTTGAAGCCTGACCTGGGGCAGAGCAACCCCCTTCGAAGACATGAGACCCTCAGCCGGCCAAGCTGAAGAACATTCGAGGGTACCTTCAGGTCGGGCCTGTCCCCCTACAGGTTGATCCTGGACGAAAAATTAAACATTCGCAAAACAAATACTCAAAGATAGCCAAACCATGTTCAAGACATCGCACCACAGACCATTTTTTTACTAATTTGAATATTCCTCCTGTAGAGGGACCGGCCCGACTTAGGGGGAACTCCCCCCACGATGCACAAGAGCATCCGACGAGCACGAAGGACACGAAGGCGCCCTCCCAGCACCGACCGCCCTCGATTCCCTACCTCGGTCCGGCCGGGTCCCTGAAGGGGAGCGTGAGGAACGGTCGGGCTCCCAGGGGGCAGGAACGGGAGCATGCAGGCCATCCCCCGCAGCGCCTCGGGAAGCTGCGGACGACCGCGCGACCGCACCTCCGCTTGGCCCAGGGCCACAGGCCACGGGCCCGCATCCAGAGGGTCCGGGTCTACCCGTCTTTGCGGCGCGACCTCCTGCGCGCGTGATTTTTCCAGCTCGCGCAAAGACGCGCGAGCGTAGAAAAACCACATTCCCAGCAACACCGAATCGTATGGGCTCTGTTGGGCCGCATCTCATTGGACGCGCGTGCCTCCCCCTCCCCCCCGCGCGATGTGGAACACACACCCCGCTGGAAGAACCATCTACTGTTCACTCGCGAGGGAAAAATGAAACATGGGGAGTTGTGCCACTCACTCATTGTAGCGATTGCGGCGGGCCCGTTACATGTCTGGTAACTTCTCCGGGACTTGCCCAGAGCATGCTCCGAACATAAGGCCGGCAAAGCACGAGGAGCGGGAGGACGAGCAGAAGCCCGAGACGATCCACTGGCAGCAGCGATGTGAAGGAAACATATGCGATCCCGACGCGTCGGGGTCTGCTATCTCCTGGATCCACACACCCCGAAACGTCCCCAACAATCACGATGGGGACAAACTCCGCCCTGTGACCAAGGGGGCCCGAACAAAATGGAATTGCATCCAGCAGTCCATCAGTATTCCGAACTCTTCGGCGTCGGCAGCGCTGCGGCTCTGGTGGGTGACAAGCCGCGAAGCCAAATGGCTGGATCTGAATCTGCCCGACAATATGCTTCGGCGACAGGACAAACTGACTGCCCATAAGCTGCTGCGCCGAAATTGTCCTCGCAACCCCGACACCTGTGAAGCGCAGTCTCGAGAACTTTCTGGCACCTCGGGGAACCATCGCAAATGGGCCCGCCCACTTCCTCCTTTATGCAGGCTCGGGGCCAAAAACCTCCTGGGGCAATTGTCCCCGACAGTTCGCTCGGACTTTCTCATTGCGGGGCAATCTTCTAAAAGGCCAAGGCCGTCTACGAAGACAATTCACCACCCCGCGTTCCATTCCTGTCCCGCGTCAACGCCGCGACGCTAGCCTCCGCGGTCGCAAGTGGATAGGGAGCGTAACATTACGCAAAACTGGCCCCGCTGCGTCGGAGGCGAGGTTGCCCGAAAAAATCATCATCAGGAACTTCCTGAGCCTCTGAATCGCCACGGGGAGTCCATGGTGCTCTCCGGCGGTCTGGCCCCAGATGGCCCCGCCAAGCTTCGAGCGAATGCAACTGCACAGCCCCCAATGGCTTCGAAATCGTCGAGCGCGGCGCCCAGGGGCCACCGACCTAAGCCTCGCGAGCACGACGGGCCAAGAGCGGCGACCCCCAGGGCGAATCGTCGACGTGGATAACCATTGCGTCAACCCGAACTCCACGCACTTGCAACGACGCAAGATCGAAGGATCGCCCCCGGGAGCAAGTAACCTCTCTGCTTTGAGAGGCACCCACCTCCCCGGCCCGCATTTGCCTACGGCTGCGAGTCATGACAGAGCCAGAAACGCCGTGAATTCCATGCGCATACAGTCGAGCAGCAAACGCGCCCTCTCGCTCCACATGGCCTGTACTCTTATAGCGCATGCTCGCTCGCGCAAAACGCACTGCCTTCGAATGCGCAGCTATGCCCTTGGCCATTCTGTCCGTTCACGGCCCTCTCAAGGTCTGCACCCCCTGGCGCCCTGCTCGCCCCGCTACTTCGACCGGGGGGCCCGCGCGAAACTACTGCGCCGCTGTGTGGCATGCGATGGGCAGACGGGGACATGGGATGGCCCACTTCGGCGAGACTCGAAGTCCCACGCTTGAACGTCATTCGCATGTTGCGAGCAGTCCACGATTAGGTGACTTCTGGATACTAGTCCTCGATGCAACCACGCGCGGGGTGTGGGTCGCCCATCCAAACGCAAGTAGACGCGCGGGGGAGTACAACCGTGAGCGCGGCGCGATGTTCCCGACCTTGCGCTCTGAATCATGAGTGGCGAGGCGCGCGAGGCGCGCCGCCCCGGGGCGCGCGGGCCCACGCGCGGCGAGTTCCAGATGCAGAGCAGATCGCGGAAATCCACGCCTCGAGGCGCAGCGCACGAGGATCGCCCACTCAGTGGAGTCGCAGAACCCCTTCCACATCTAACAAACCACGCCCCCCTTCCATTCCCGAGCAGTCCGACGCGCCACATTTCCATTGATAGCTGCTTCCCCGATCGGCTCGGTGGCCAATCCTCAGGACTGGGTGGTTCAAAATCACCCGGAGCGGGAACGCCTACCCCGAGGCCAGCGCGCGGTTGCGCGCTGCGCGCAGCCGCGCAAATGTCCGCCGGTGACAACGCATGTCCTGAAATACGGCTGCAACAAATCGTAAGTCATCTCCCTCGAGGCCCAGATGTCAGTGACAAGTGGGACCTTGAAAGCCATGGTGTCCGCATCAGGGTGGCAGAGTGCCGCAAATGCCGTCGCAATCTCATCTGCCGTCTGCGGCCCCCGTCATGCGGAACGACGGAGCGCCCCAGGTGCTGTCTTTGAATGCATCAAGCCCCGAATGTCGGCATGCGAATTTCGAGCGGGCCCGAATTCTCACGCGCGCGGCAATCTCCCCGGAAGGTCCGGCGAACGTCAGCGCAATAGGCGACGATGCTGACGCTCCTCTCTGCGATTACTGGCGCCGAGACTGTCGACGTGGCAATGGGCCCATGCGAATTCCAGAGCGAGCCATGTCGGTGCCCGCTTGACATGGATGCGTGAGCGATGTTTAAAGTTGCCCCCTCTGAACAATCCCAATCCGCCTGGAACGGTGCCCTTTAGGCGCCGAAACCGCTGGAGCTTCCCTCCGCCAGGAAGCCGCGATAGTTCCACTCGGCAACTAGAAGGTCCCTTTTTGGGGCCCCGCCGCTTGCACTGCAAATCGGTGTCTTCGAGGCCGCGAGATGCCCGCCGTGAGTTCGCGCTCGCGATTGCCGCGCGTCGCCATCTCCAGCGGCGCGGCCCGCATTGCATGAAGGGCTATTGCTGGGCTCGCAAACTCGGGCCAGAGCCGCGCAGCCACAGTGCCTGCGGGGGCGGCGGCAGGGGGGGGGGGGGGGCGCGACGCCGGCTTCGGCGCGAGCGTTCGCCCACGCGTCCGCGGGAATGCGGGAGCGGGCGGAAGGCCCGCCACGGCCTGGGAGGGGGGGGGGCGGCCCAACGCGATCGCCGAGAGGGCGGGATCATCCGCGCGGCGCTGCCGCGACGAGACGCGGTCACCCGCCGCCTTTCCACTGGCAACTGCAGGAGCACACTGCAGCAACAAAAACACGATGGGTTCGGTGTCTGGCGCCGCGGGTTCCACGGCGGCGCCCGTCGCGCAGCCGGCGAGATGCGCAAGGCAAGATGCCGAGGTGCTAGACCCGCCAGGTCCCCCTGGCGGCCCGAGATCAGAATCGCGGCAGCAAAATTACCTCGACAGCCTGCGGGCCCTCCTCCGACGAGGCCTCGGAGAGCGCCGAAATCGGGCGGGGCCGAGACCGCTCGAGCCCGCCCCCGACGAGCCTCCTCGCGGCGCTAGGCGCCCGCAGAACAGGTTAGCATGAGATCCAGTTCGGCGCCAGGCAAGCGCGCTCAATTTGCGCCTGGCGATCCGCCTGTGCCACCCGCGACTTAGAGCCTGGAGTGGGGGGCGTCGACGGTCGAGCGACTTGCGGTAATTTAGGGAATAAGACTCAGACCCGCTGGATGACGCGCTTGCACAGGCTACGTATCTTCAGACATAGACCGCAGAAGATAATCGACGCAACTTCAGACAACAACAGAAAAACATCGACCGACTCGGGGTGCGGGGCAGCGGCTGCGCTGCGCGCCGCAAAACCAATAATGGAACCAGGCTCTCCTGAATCGGAAGTGCACTCTGCAGCTGCAAGAGCTGACTGGCCTCCGACCATTTCGAAACATCTCGACGCTGCTACCACAGAAACCGACGTGTCGAAATCCGCCGATCCGGCGTGTGAGTTACAAGGAGTCTCAGCTACAGCCTCGAGGCTGAGCCTCAGCCTCTGGGGGGGTTGCCGGGGTGGCTCTGCCGGGGAAGGGGGGGTGGGGTGGGGGGGGGGGCGAGTTTCCGGCGGATGCGTTTTTTGACACCCCTCACAAGGATCGTGGCCTCCGAGGGGTTGTCCGAACTCGAGTGCCACCTCTCCCGCACCAAGAGGCTCCGAAGAAGCCTCCAAGAGGCCCCAAGGGGCCCAGAAGAGGCCCCCAAGAAGCCCCAAGAGACTCCCAAGAGACCCCCAGGAGGCCCCCAAGTGGCCCCAAGAGGCCCAAGAGGCCCCCAAGAAGCCCCAAGAGGCCTCCAAGAGGCCCCCAGGGGTCCCGGCCAACCACGATATCCCAACCAGCGTCCATGAGGCCTCTGACCCACCACCCACGCACGGTGGTGGGATAGGCCGAAGGCCACTGGATAAATGCGGAATGAAAAGGAAAAGAAAGGGAAAAGAGAGGAGGGACGAGGGCGAAGGAGGATCACATCAGTCGGAGCGCCCCGGATCGGCGGCACTGGCCGAAGGCCACTACAATCATCCACGCAAACCCACGGGAGCTCCACAGACGCTCAAGAAGAGCCTACCGTGGTATATCTCTGAACATCGAGACCTGTCACGAGTATGAATGCAAAGGCAGAAGGAGTGACCGGCCTGGCATCAAGATCCACTCGTCACCCTCGGTGGCCCGAGCTGGCCCCTGAATCGTCGGAGCACGCCCAGCATTGCGCGAAAACTTCGCGATCACCCAACGGATGGCTGCACGAGCTTTCTTCTGCCACATAGGCAGGTTCGGGCGAGCCCTATGTGTATCTGCTAGACAGACCACGTCATAGGTATTGGCCTGAGACACTGCCAACCGAAAGTACCACACTTTGTCTTCCAGGGCGGTCTGTTGCCATAGAAGGCGCGAGTAAACTCACCAGACTCAGGACGGGCCTTTGGCTTAAAAATTGTCCGGAGAGAGGTGCAAACGTGGCCCCATCTCCATGTCGTTCGGCTGAAATCTGAGCATGCGACATCCGGGGGGCCTCAGCAGCGATCTTCTCGTCGGCGGTCGCGGACTCGTTGGCGCCAGCGCCGTTGGCCACCCCAGTGTCTGAAGCCGCCAGTGCAGCAGGCCCGCCCTCAGACGAAACACCCGCTAATGGCGTGTCCGAGCCCTGACCAGGCGCGGCCGTCGGTGTAAAAACTTTTCTCGGATCGTCAGAACGACGCTTCTAGGCCATGCGAGCCGTGATATCAGCGTGGGAAATTTTTCGCCTTCTCTGCAATCGTGGTTACCTGACCGGCTTCTGGGGGAAAGGGACACCTTTGTAGTGAGCATTTCCGTGTGGGACTTACGCAGCGTTTCCAATTCACGTGGTTCGCAACCGGGCGACTGCAAGTTGCCCAACAGTTTTGCGTGCCAGACCACGACGGATGACGGCTTCCTCTCCTGGCTGGACGTTTCTGGTGGTGTTGCAAGTGCCCTCCATGGCCACAAGTGTTTGGGCCCCCATAGCCCGAGCCTGGGCGGCGACTGCAATATTCTTGGCTATAGTGTATGCTCTTTCTCCTTGGCGGCAGCAAGGTTCTTCTCGAGTCGCAAGACAGCTGTGACGTCCTGGTTGTGCCTGTTGGTCACGTCCCACCACGCGCCATCCGCTTTCTGCATCGCAATCACGACACTGGTGGTTCCGTGTGCAACCTTGGCCGAGAGAGAACTCACCTGTGCCTCAAGCGATGACCGTACATCTGGAACTGTAGCCGCCGCAAGAGCTTGTTGTAATTGGGAGAATGCTGCGTCCTTCGATTTCCACCAGCTGGCCCTTGAAAAGAGTGCCCAAGTGTCGGTGGACGGCTGCCGTTACCACCTTGTGCACCACCATCTCCAGAATCAGCAAGTGTGACCTTGAGGATGCCTTTGGGAGGCTTCGATGGAACAGTATATAACCTGACTTTCTTGTCACACTTGTACTTCTAACATCGCGCTACAAGTATATCATTGTATTCTGCTTGCCCACAGGACCTGCACGTAGACCAGAGACGTGACATCGTGCGACAACCGAAAATCCTCGGCCTTAGCCAACCACAGAGCGAAAGATCGGGCCCCCCCCCCCTCCGTCCGCTTGCAGTTGTCCCTCCAGCGCCCCGTGAAGGCCGGCACCGAGGAGGGGTTTGCCACCATTGCTTGGGCCCCATGGCTTGACACGGACCGGCTGAGGGGGGGGGGGGCATCGACCTGGAATCGGCAACACATCGTCTATAGATCGGAGGAGGAGGAGGAGGAGGAGGAGGAGGAGGAGGAGGAGGAGGAGGAGGAGGAGTGAAGGCCCCCGATAGCAAATCCGCACGGTCCCTGGCGCGGCGGGCTATCGGGCCCCTACCGGCGATGAAGCCCGATGAGTGGGCCAAAGGGCCGCTCAATGCGTCCCCCCTGCACCCGTCCAACTCCACCGCTGCCCCGTGCGGGGCGATGCGGGAATCCCCCGGGAAGCCCCCGGCGAGGCGCAGCTGCGGGAGAGCACTCCCCGGCTGGACGGCCGCCTCGCGCCGACACGCGCGCACGAGGACCCTCAGGCCTCGCAGACGAGACGCCCCCGAAGCCAGTGCGTCGCGAATGTCCCCTGCGCTCGTCCTCGTCGCGGAGCTGGGCGAGTTGTGAGGCAACCGGCAGCTCAAAACCGGTCCCACTCCTCGGGTCCAAACGCTCTAGTTCTCCGAGTTGCGTGCGTCCAGCCGTGGCGACGAGGGCCCCCCCCCCCCCCCCCGGAGGCCAACTACCCCGGTTAAATCTGGCTTCCTCTGATCGTCGTCCTCACACGCCTTGCCCTCCTCGTCGCAATCGTCTTCGTCGCCGGCCCCTCGCGGCAGCAGCGCGGCTCGCGCTGCGGGCGCGCGCTCGCGCGCGCGCGCGCCTGCAGCATCCCGACGGCGCGCTCCAGGTGCTGCAGGTTGTCCACCTGCGGGCTCGGTCCGGTCCGGCGACGACTTCAGATAGTACAGCTGTGGCGTTGACCTAAGGAACCCTAAATAAGGAACGAGGCCCCTTTTTCCCATAAGTTAAACTTCGACTTGCTATCGAAAACCTAAGGAAAGCCTGAGGCAAGCTGTGAAACACTTAAGGAACGCAGAGCCCCTCCGCAATGAAAAGGGTTCCTTCTTCAGGGCCCCGACTGTATCTCACTCAAGCTTTCTGCCGTCCCCACGGCGCCCAATAGCACGCAATGACGGGCAAAGCGGACACAACACATCTCCCTCACATGGCGCTATGGGGAGCTGTTCGGGCGCTGTTGGGCACAATCCACTCCACGCAAGACAAGCGGAAACTTCTGTCACTTACTATCACGCCGACCCCCCCAAGACGCAATCTCCAGGCACACCTAGGAGGCAACTCCTGGAACGCCCTCTTTAAAAATAATAAAGGGCTATGAAGCTATTGAACCCGATGAAGGGGTCCTCAAGCCAGACGTGGCCAATGTGAAACTCAATTGGACCGGATCAAGCGGGATCGCGACGGAGCAGGCCAGTTTACCAGCGCCGATGCTGAAAGCAATCGACTGGGAATTGCATCCTAAGCAACGTGTAGTCCAAATCGAGCTAACCCCTGTTATCCAACGTAGCGGAACCATTGCAGCTTCGTTGAACATTCCAAACCAAGGAGCTCCGCACCCTACCTTTCTGCGACATTATTCGAGCCGGATTTTTCTGTGAGGGCTCCAGGACACAAAACAGAGCGAAATCGCCCAGCTCGAAAACAACATCCTGGCAAAGGGCCCAACCATATGCAATTGTGGGTACCGTAGTTGCGGGTATCGCCTTCGGGGGATCTCCTCATGGGGCCATGAAGCATGCGAAGGGTGTGCCGATGTGGGGCAGGGCCGCCATGTGGGCGCTGCCACCCGGGGCGGGTGCCCGGGAACGTCGACGGCATCGGACGGTCCTACACGCGGCGCCCAGGCGGGGGGAAGAGGCACAGTCGACCCGAGCAGTAAGCATGGGCGAGGACGAAGACGAGGACGACGAGGACGAGGACGAGGACGAGGCCGATGAGGGCGAGGAGGGGGATCGAGCCACAGTACACTCGACCCGCATGGTAAGCATGGGCAACCATCCCTAGGGTACCCTTGCATCCATGCCTCCTGGGTCCATCCGTGGCCACTTTCGTTGGCCGCGCCCCGTTCGGAAAGCTTCGAAATGGGCGTTCAAGGCCCTTGAGCTCTTTATCGCGCATCCTTACTATACGGGTTGACTGTACCGACCCATACATGCTCGCGTCGTGACACAAATCACGATGGACGGCGCTCGAAGATCGGGGCCGGGGAGGGGAGGGAGGAGGGGAGGGAGGAGGGGAGGGGAGGGGAGGGGTGGAGGCGGCCTCGGACTGGAAAGAGAGAGAGAGAGGGGAGGGAGGGGAGAGGGAGAGGGGAGGGGGAGAGGGGGAGGGGGCAAGCTAGGTGCGCTCGCGTCATGTCTGACATCCTACCCCTCCCTCCCATCCCTTACCATGGCGCAGATCCCCTCTCTACTCGCTCAGTCGGATGTCGAGCAGGGCAATGATGGGTACGCGATGCATTGTAGAGCACGGCATGGCATGGCGTAGAAGAGCACCGCAAAGCGTAGTATCAACCTGGCATTGCAGTGCATGCCGTGGCATGGCACGGGAAATGACGCCAGCGCTGCAGCGGGAGCAGGAGTCGAAACGAGCGGAAGCGCGGAAATGAGGCCAACGCTGCAGCGGGAGCACGATTCGGAACGAGCGGAAGCACGGAAATGCAACCAGCGCTGCAGCGGGAGCACGATTCGGAACGAGTGGGGCCCGAAAATGAGGCGGGCGCCTCAGCGAGAGCAGCATTTTGGAAACAAATGCAGGCGAAAACCCAACTCTGGGGAAACCTGTGTAAACAAACAATACGCGGGGGGGGTCGGACACTCCCAGGCCGTCATCAGGGGAAGAGGGAGAGTAGTATTCATATTGAGTAATTGTAGGGAGGGAGGGGAGGGGGGAGGGAGAGGGAGAGGGAGGGGAGGAGAAAGGGAGGGGAGGGGAGGGGAGGGAGAGGGGAGGGGAGAGGGTGAGGGAGAGGGGGGGGGAGGGGAGAGGGGAGGGGAGAGGGGGGAGGGAGGATGGGGAGAGGGAGAGGGAGGGGCGGAGGCGGCCTCGGATTGGAGCTGGTTCTTCTCCACCGCCTGCTGCCTCAGGCTCTCGGCGTCTGCGCTCAGGCTCTGGTGCGCCTCGCGTCGGCGCGGGCGTCGTCGGGGAGGGGGCCCCAAGGGGAGGAGGGGCGAGGAGGAGGCAAACCCATCCCTTCGACGACACCTGTTTTCCGAGCTGGGCGTTTTGTTTAATTATGTTTCGGCCTTCTGTGCAAAAGCATGGGTCCAAGACGAAAAACTACCCCCAGGGAAGCGGGACCGCTGGAGCAGCTGATTCAAAAGAAACGATCGGCGGATGTCAGGGGAAGGGGGAGGGAACGGATTGGCTAAGAGGGGAAAGGATGATGATGAGGAGGAGCGAGGAGGAGAGGGTGTAGTGGGAGGAGGGACAAGGAGGAGTAAAATGGGTAGGCAGGAGGGAGAGGGATGGGGAGGAATATGGGCGAGGAGGCGGAGGAGGAGGAGGAACTAGGAGGAAGGGCGGAGGTGGACGAGGAGGGAGACGGGGAGGAGGAGGGGTAGGAGAGGGATGGGGAGGAAGAGCGAGAAGGGAGATGATGATAAAGGGGATGAGGAGGGAGAATGGGACGGACGAGGGGGAGGAGGGGGAGAGATGCTGATGATGATGAGGAGCGACGTGGAGGGGGGGGAAGGACCTCAGGTGTTGCAATCAGACGAGCCTGGCAATAGCAAACACCCAGCACTACGCATCCCACCAGCTCTCTGAGGAGGGGGCCTGGGTCAACCCAATAATGTAAGATGACGGTTGGTAAAAAGATGTGGGGGAACGAATAACACCATACTTTCTGAATCTTCGGTTTCTGCTTCGCTTCGGCTCCGTCTGGCCCGTCGGCTGTACAGGCGCGCGCACAACGAGGGCGTGAGGGAACGATTAAACATACGTTCCCTGCCAGGGGGGGGGGGGGGGGGGGCATTGTTCGAATCATAATCCACGGCGCCGCCGCCGCCGCCAAGTAATGCCTAAGTCATCATCATGCGTGAACGGAAAAGATATGCCGTTTTCTGACGATCCTAGGCGAACCGAGGAGACGATGAAACATCAGACACGGTTGAGGGTCAGCGTAAGCGCTTTGGCGAGACGGCAGTCAGGCACACGAGTCTACGGGATGGTCGAGGGTTTCGGTTTTCTGTGTTTTGTGATGTGCTCAACTTGCCTGCCTTCTAGTTTCTTTTTCTGGGCGTGCACAAACAATTGCTTTACGGCTGTGTGTTGCGTCGGTTGGTCCTGGGAAACATTCGCATCGCCAGGCAGTTTCGCCTGGTGGCGCGCCAGGCGACCCCTCGGCTCGCCTGTGGGCCGAGCCCCAGTGGATTGCCGCCCCCATCTCCCAGCGCCTGGCGCTTGCTCATGTGGGGCCTTGTCGTCGGCCACGAGAGGTGTTCGATCTCAGAAGCAGGTGGCCAGACTCTTGCAATTCCCAAAATCAAGGGCTCCCAACTTCGCGCTTCGCGCTGCGCGAAGCGCGAATAACTTCGCGCTCTCGCGCCGCCTCCCAGGGGAGAAGAGGAGGAGGAGGAGGAATGGGAGCCGAACCGAGAAGCGCGAAGCGCGAATAACTTCGCGCCCTCGAGGGCGCCCTTGAAAATACATAATGCCCCAGACTGGCCTCCCTGACGCCACCACTCGGCCAACAAAAAAAGTCCGCAACGCCGCCACACGACGGCCCGCGGTGGGCACAGAGCCTCCCACCCAATGACGCCTCCAGGGGTCACGATCATGAGAAGAACGTCGGGCTGTTGGATGGTTGATGTGAAGGGGCCCCAGGACACACAAACAAATACACACAAATAAAAAGATCCCCCACATTTTCCCATATTTTCTGGGGTTCTGTCTTCCCCCCCATTTCCCATAGTTTCCCATATGTTCTAGGGAATCGAGGATTAATTGTGTCTGTGTGTTTCTTTTCCTCCTGATGGTGGCTTGTCGCCTTGTCGCATCCGATGGGGCTCGAAAGCCTCAGGGAGGCACAGCAAGACTGCCACACGTGGCGATTCGTTGTGCCTGCACAGACAGATGCGAGTTGGAGCCCCTTGCGGTCCCCAGATGTTCCCGAGGGGCGCAGATCCGCAACGAGTCTCCCAGTGGAGCCCCAACAATTCCCCAACAAGACCTCCAGGGCGACAAACATTGACCCAAGAGGTCCCCACGAGGCTCCAAGAGGTCCTGACGTCGGCCATTGCTGGGGGCCGCACGGGCTGAACGCAATGTCGGCTCGACGGCTATCTTCATCTCTGTTTTGCAAAAACCTCGCCACCCTTCCGAATGCCGCTCGCCAAAGATGCTTCTCTTGAGAAACTGGTGGGGGCACGCGAAGTGTCAACAACTTCACACAAGGTCTTGCAAACACTGCCCACCAAACATTAGAGACTTGACCACCAGAAATCTTCCGCAAGAAGCCCAAGCCCGAGACCCCAATACGTCCATTGATTTTTGGTGTGGGAACGTCACGCTTCCCATACCAAAGCAAAATCGTCACCCAAGAAACCCAAGGCACCCTGGAGGCAAGCAGAGCGCTTCATGGCATGGGTTTTCGATGCATCCGGAAAGCCAGTAACCCCGCACAAAGTCTAAGGCATACCGCTCACCAAACTACTGGGAAGACAAAGCGCTGCCACCTCGGAGAAAATCGTTGCCAACGGACCGCCTGTCGAGAAGATTCTGGGAATGGCAACCTTTTCGGGGGAACTCGTCTCTCCCATCGCGCCAACCGTTCGCGTCGAATCCGAGCCGGATCCATGTCAAGCTGTTCGAACGCGTTGAACCCGTGCCGAATCCGCCTCGGATTCACGTCGAACCCGAGCCGCACCGCTGTCAGGCACAAGGAACGCCCGCAAGGTGCAGGATCGCCCAAAGTCCGCGAACATAGAACGCAACACATCAAAAACACATGATTTTTTGGTCGGCGGGTCGGGAGCGGGCCCCTTCTGGCTAGGAGCTAGGCGGGGCAAGCGAAACCCGAATTGGGGAGACAGGGCGCGGGCGGGCGGGGCTTCAGGCGGCCGGAGGGTGCGGGGTGCAGGCGGTGCCGAAGAGCTTGCACAGGAAAAGGTACACCTTGGACAGGAGCCGGGGGTGAAGTCCCGGAGGGAGAGCGAAGTGGTGTTGACATCAGAAGCGCACACACACACACCATGCTAGGGAGCCCACAAAGGACGTACGCGCCCAGCTATGTACATGAACACGGTCCCTTGAAACGCGAGACCGGCCGCGTGATACGAACATTCGCGCAACGTGAACTCTCGAAACCAGCGTGGATTCATGTACATGTACGTCCTTCTTTCGCTCCTGACATGCAACACGACCGCCACAGGCCGAGCGACGCGGAAGTGCCTGGCCACGGACGCCACGCCCGCATCGGCCGGCGCCCGCAGCGGGGCGGCAACCGGACAAAGGCCCGGCCTCGTCCCGCCGGCCCACGCAGGGAGGGCGCGAGGGAGGCCCTCCGACGTTCGCATCGGGGGAAGGATTGCAAAAAAACCCAGGATTGCAACGAAGGATTGAAGGATTGCAAAAAAAACCCAGGGTTTTTTTGCAATCCTTCGTTGCAATCCTTCGTCCCAGGGTTTTTTGCAATCCTGGGTTTTTTGCAATCCTTCTTTTGCAATCCTTCGTGGAACTGGCCATCGCTCGGACGTCCATTCCCTGTGCTTCTTTCGGTCTCGTGCGTGGCTTTTTCCGCCAAATGATCAGGGATGCTCCTCGATGCTCCTCGCCGAAGGACAAATGCACACGTCCGAGCGATGCCAAGGTGGCACGTCTGGGCCACCACACTTCGCGCATCGCGCCCCGCGGCGCGCGGTTCTCTTCGCGCTCATGGCGCCATCCCCTTGAAAAAAGGGTAGCCGTTCTCAGCCAGACAGCGGCGCGCAACTACCTTCGCGCCCCCGCGGGTGACTTGGAACGTGTAGTTACTGGTGCGCGGGAGAGCAGCAACAAGTTCTATCAACGATCGGCCTGTGGTCGGACAGACAAGACGGGGGTACGAACACACGCAGCACGCAACGCGCGACACAACGGTCGCCGCCTGTTGCCACTGCGCGTTCATGCGCATCAGCTCCTCGGTCGGGGGGGGGCTGGAGAAGGCCCAAACGAACGCGGCATGCGAGAAGAGCAAAAGAGCATGGAATGACAAGAAGGAGGGGAGGAGTGGTATCGGGAAATACGGTCGGATCTTGATTTCTGACATGATCCACCACCAGGAGAAGCACTCGAGAATCGAACTGAAAAAATGGATGTGGCAAGTTCTCCGCCCAAGGCGGAATGACAAATTGATCATCTGCACCCCACAAAAGCTGTCAAATAATTGGGTCCGATATGCCACGGAAAACTACACACACCACCCGCGTATCAAATCGCTGGCCTCCAGTGGTGATCAAATCGCTGGCCTCCCATTGTGATTTTCTACACCGCCACACTACCCGAATGCCCATGATCAAGCCACTGGTGAGTGTCTGCGTGCATATTTTCGCAGCCAATCTAAACACCGACGTGAACACGCACGCACACGCACATACACACACATAAGCACACACACACACATAAACACACACACACACACACACCGCGTGCTAACAAAACAAGCAAAGGCTGCGGACCGCTGTCGCGCGAACGGCAACTGCGTCTCCCGGCGATGCGGCAGAGCCGAACCGTGCGATCTCGGGAGATTCCGCGGCCTGTGGCGCTCAACCCCCTGAGCGCCCGCCCTGGGCCCGCCCCCGCGTCGACACCACACGCACGTGCCGTGCACGACTGCGCTGTGAGAGCACCAGGCAGGTGTGAGCCGGATCGATTCGCGAAATCGGGTAGGACCAGGAAAGGATCTGACTACCTACCAGACCACCCCAACCCAACCCGAAGACCCGAATTTCGGGTTGGGGGGGGTAAGGGTTCCACGTGTGTTCTTTCGATGTTTCCCGACCCCCCCCCCACTGGAAATCGAGGATAAATTGGGGCCTTCGGGTTGGGTTGGGGTGGTTTGGTGGGTGGTGAGGATCGGATCGCCAGCGAAGCGTCCCGAATCGAACGGCCGCGCCTGGCTCCGACGGGCCCCAGTCCATGCCGGTTAGTCGAGCCGAGTCAAGGCGGACTCGCAGGCCCAACTGGCGCATCGAATCGGATCGAATGGGATCGCAGGCGGGCGGCCCTGCCGCGCCACGTCCGACCGCGAGACCATCGAAGTTACTATAGATGCCTCGGAATAACCCCAGGAAGCATTTAAGAACCCCCCCGGCGATATCTCAGCACCGCATTTTTATTCGATATTCCGAGGGGCCGAAATAACCGCACGATAGGTTTAGCACCCGGACACACAACAAATTCGCGGAGGCCTGGCCCCTGGGCTACAATCGATTTGGGCCCTGACAGGCCTTGGGCCCCGAGGGAAGGAGGGGGGCGCGGGAGGAGGAGGAGGAGGAGGAGGAGGAGGAGGAGGAGGAGGAGGAGGAGGAGGAGGAGGAGGAGGAGGGGGCAGGAGGAAGTTCGTGGGTGGAGGAGGAGGAGGAGGAGGAGGAGGAGGAGGAGGAGGGAGGAGGAGGAGGAGGAGGAGGGCTCCTGGTGCCAGGTAACGCTTCCAGGGTGCGGAAGGGTTATCGATTTGCCGGAAGGGGGGGGGGGGGTTCTTAAATGCTTCCTGGGGTTAGATCGGGGTCGGAGAACCGCGCCGCATCGCCAATGCATCGCCCGCCGTCGGCGTGGCGGAAATCGGGCTCCGCATCGAGCCGCATCGCCGATGCATCGAGGATGCGGCGCGATCCTCCGACCCCATCCACTCGGACCCCATCTGGGAGGCCTGGAACCAGGGCATAGGGCCGGGGGAGGTCTGAATCTCGGCGGTGCTCGGAGGCCTGGAGGTGCAAGAAGGGCCAAGAGAAGTCTTGATCCTTCTACCCCTCAGGCGAGGCAACAAGACGAGGCCAGGACGGGGACTGACTTGAACCCGGATCACTTCTGTCATGGATCTCTAAGATCGGGCGGCTCCCGCGGATGTGTCGGGCGCCGCGTCAGTTCCAGAGCGCTTCGCAACGTTCTGACAGCGGCCCAGAACGCTCTGGAACGATGTATCCCGGTCTTTGCGCCGCCCGGCCAAGAGGAGGAGGAGGAGGAGGAGGAAGAGGAAGACCTCCTCATCCTCACTTCCCCCCCGTCATATCCATGGTAGCGTTTGTGGAAAATTGGCCCATCGCTTGCGCCGCCCGGTCAAGACAGATCACGGAATCAGATAACATTGAATCGGGAAATCGGATCCCATCAGCATGGGCGCCGGATCGGGCCGCATCTGCACGGAATCGAGATCGGACAAAGGATCGGCCGCGCCGGGATGCACCACTGCGCTGTGGAAACACCAGGCCACAGCGGATCGCAAAGAAATCGAAACCAAATCACCCAATAGAGAATGGGCCCTCCACCTTGGGGGCCTCCAAAAAAACGGAGCGGTGACAGACCGTGCGGTGAGCTCGAAATCCGCAAAGGCCTCACCGCACGGTCCGTCACCGGACCGTTTTTGGGCCTTTGAGGCCCCAATTGCCCGAGGCATCCTCGCAGAACGACCCGAATCCCAAGACAGTGCGGCCACCTGGAAACCCCACTGATCCACCGCAGGGTGTTGTCACCGCACCGCTTGGCCCCCCTCCGAGAATCGGATGGATCGAATCGAACTGGGCCCGAGTCGAAACAGGTCGCCAGGTCCTGCATCCGCGCCTCCATCTCCGCCTTCTGCTGCGGGTTCAGGAACGTGCCCTGGCGCCGGCGCGACAGCGGGGCGCAGGGGCGGGAGAACGGCGCGCAGGCCCGTTGAGACGAAGCCAGGAACGAGACCATTTCGGATCGGGATGAATCGGGAATCTCAGAAATCCAGCAATTCTGAGAGATGTACTGGGCGCCGTGGTTTTCTCAGGCCGTTTTGGAACGCTCTGGAACGACTTGCCCCCCTCCCTGTGAGCAATGCCGGGAGGGAGCGTGGAGGGACCAGCTCAGGGGAGACAAATCGAGCTGGAATCGGCGATACATCGCCGACAGATCGGCGATAGTCCCCCTTCCAGGTGGCTTGGGTTATCGGGCCCCTAGCGTTAGGTCGGGCATGTCCCTTACAGGCGCAATCAAAAACTATTTCCAAAATGCGCAAACATGGTGAAACATAGTCCCCCGTCTATTTTTTGACTATTCTTGAATATTCCCCCTGTAGAGGGACAGGCTCAACTTAACCCTATCGGCGATAATTGAGCGATTGGGGGTCGATGTCCCCCCCCGAGCCTATCCCCCCCTAACAGTGCTCCTAAGCGTTGTCCAGGACCAGTCTCCAGGGGTGCGTCCTGGCCAAGATTCCGAAGATCCGCCGACCCCTTGGGGCCTGGGCGTGTGAGATGCTTCCCCCTCCTCAACCCCCTCCCCCGGGGGCCCGGTCCGGCCGGTTTGGAGGGTGGGGTGGGGTGGGGGGCAAAGGTGTCGGCCGCACACTCGGAGCCTCAGGAGGCCTCCAGAAAGGCCAAAAAGGTTCAAAAGGGCCCCGGAACGGTCCAAGAGAGCTGCGAGTCGACGAAAGATCGCTCCAAAACGCCGAAGATTGCCTCCGGACGGCCCCGTCAGCCCCCAAGACTATTTTTTTGTCTAAAAAAAAAAGTAAAAACAAAGTAAAACAAAAAAAGTAAAAAGAAAAAAAAAACAGCCCCCAAGACTCTTGAGCAAGTGCTACGAGGCGGCCCGCGCAGGCCCCGACAGAAGCAACCGTCGCCCCATTCCCCAGGGCTAACGTACATTTCGGGCACATTCGCCTTCTGTGCTGGCCCACGAAGCCTCCAACATCGACCCTCTGCAGCCCAAGAGGCTCCCAAAAAAGGCTACAAGACGGCTTCCAAACGATCCACGAAGGCCCCAGAAACCATAGCAACGGCCCGGGAGAGCCGCAGGACGGTCCCAAAAGGATTCCAAAACGGGTCAACAGGGTCCCCAAAGGCTGCCCAGACGGCCCACGCGGGGGACGATTCGGTCCAAACCGCCCGGGATTGCTTCCAAACGGCCCCATAAGCCCCCAAGACGTTTGAAAACGCGCCCACGAGGCGCTCCGCGAGGGCCTCCAAAAACACAAATCCTCTCATTTCCCCCGGAAAACATAATACATTTACATTCGCGTCTTGGGCTTCCACGAGGCCTACAACGGCCCCGTAAACCTCCAATTTCGACCCCCGACACCCCAAGAGGCTCTCAACAAAAACTCCTCGGCGGCTTCCGGGCGCACCACGAAAACCTCAGAAACCGCAGCAACGGCACAGGGCAGTCGCAGGACGGTCCCACGAAAGCCCCACAACGGGCCAAGGGGGTCCACAAAGGCCTTCTGGACGGCCCACGAGGGGGACCATTCGGTCCAAACCGCCCCAGCTTACCTTCAGACGATTCCCCATAGGCCCCCGAGAAATTTGAATAAAACTACTACGAGGCGCCCCACGAAGGCCTCCGCAAGCACAAATCGTCCCATTCCTTGCGGGAAACATACATTTTCAGCATATTCGCCTCTTGGACTTCCACGAGGCCTATAACGGCCCAAGAAGCATCCACCATCGACCCCCTACAAGCCCAGAGGCTTTCAAGAGGGTTCCAAGACGGCCTCTGGGCGCCCCACGAAAGCCCCAGAAACGATAGCAACGGCCCGGGAGAGCCGCGGAACGGTCCCAAGAGGGCCCCAAGACGGGCCAAGAGGGTTCTGAAAGGCCTCCTGGTCGGCCCAAGTCGTTCAACAGCGCACCAAGTCGTCCAACATGGCCTCCCGAGCCATACAGGACCTCAAGACGCCTCAAGACGCTACCCAGAGGCGTCCCAAGAAGCCTTCCAACCACGCGGCCCTTGAGACCGCTTGCGCACCCCAACACGCCACCAGGACGCGGCCCACGAGGCCCTCCAGAAGCAAACATCGGCCCATTCCCTGAGGCAAACGTCCAAGTTTAGCACATTCGCATCTTGGCCATTCACGAGGTCCACAGCAACCCAAGAAGTACCAAAATCAATTAAAGAGAAACCATATGCCTCCAAGAAGGCTCCCAGACGGCCCAGGGCCCCCGCAGCCACCGAGGATGGCCCCAGGACGGCCCCAAAGGGCTCCCCCAACGGTCCCAAAGGGCTCCCCCAAGTGGGGTGGGGTGGGAGATAAAGGTGCCGGCCGCACACTTGGAACCGTAAGAGGCCCCAAAACGAACCAAAAAAGGTAACACAAACACCCAGAACGGTCCAAAAGAGCTACGAGGCGACGAGGGATCGTTCCACAACCCCGAGGATTGCCTCCAGACGGCTCCAGAAGCCCCCAAGACGCCCGAGAAGCCACCAAGACGCCCTCCAGAAGCAAAAATCACCCCATTCCCGACGGACGAAACTATATTTCAAACACACTCGCCTCTTAGCCTTTCACGAGGCCCACAACGGCCCAAAAAGCGTCCAAGAGCGACCCCAGATAACCGAAGAGGCCCCCAAAAAAGCTCCAAGACGGCCAACGAGGGCCCCGCGAAGGCCCCAGAAACAACCGCAACGGCCCAGGAGAGCCACAGGACGGCCTCAAGATGGCCCCAACATGGGCCTAGAGGGTCCTCAAAGGCCTCCTGGACGGCCCAGGAGGGCTACGAGTCGTCGAGAGATCGCTCCAATATGCTCCAGATAGACGTCCCAAGAGGCCTTCCAGAAGCAAAAAGCTATTTTCCATGGACACCACACATTTCCAGCACGTTCGCCTCTTCGGCTTCAACGAGGCCCACAACAGCCCAAGAAGCCTTCCAGATCGACTCAATACGACCGCCAAAAGTCCCCCAAAGGACTTTAAGACAGCCAAAAATTGGCGCTAAAAGGCACTAGAAGTCGTCAAACCGACCCACGACGGCCCCCCAAAAATCCCCAAATAGGTCCCACAAGGCCCCCCCGACGGCTCCAGAGCGCGAACCACGACTCGTGAGGAAATCGTTCCAAGACGCCCACCAATGCCTCCACCTGACCCCTGTGGCCCTGTGGACGCCCCAACACGCCACCAGGACGCGTCCCAAGAGGCCCGCCATAACCAAACCTCGGCCCCTTCCCGACGGGAAACGTCTAAGTTTAACAGATTCGCTTCTTGAGCTTTCACGAGTCCCACAGCAGCCAAAAAAACCCAAATCAACCCACAAGCCCCCGCATGCCTCCAAGAAGGCTCCCAGACAGCACAAACTGCCCCCAACAGGGCCCCCGAGGCCACCAGGGAGAGCCCCAGGACGGCCCCAAGAGGAGGGTCAGAAGGGAGACCCGAGTGGAGAATTCGAGCGCTTCGCCCCGAGAAGACACGAAAGGGCGCCTGAACGCACCCAAGAGGCCCTGACGGGGATCCACACTGCCCCCGAATGACCACGGGACCGGAGGCCGCCCTTCGACGACGAGAAGCACGAGAAAAAATTGGAAAAGACTAGGACAATGCAGCGATTTTTCCCCGCGCAGAAATCGTTCACCATGGGCCCCCGGACCTTTCCCGGAATCCAGTCGCAATCGTTTTCCCGATGCATCCGAGTCCGACGGGCTACTTCGCACAAGCTCGTTCCCCGAACCTTTCCCCGGGTCCGCCAATGCAGTTTCTCGCCCCAAGTCCGTTCGGTTTCGAAAATCCTAAGGCCCAGCAACGGCCCCCGGAGGCCGAAACCTATCCAAAACAAAAGCTATTCAAACAACAATCTCTGGAAAGGCGACGGGAACTGCCGCGGGCATCTACCTCGAACGAGAAGAAGAAGAAGAAGAAGAAGAAGAAGAAGAAGAAGAAGAAGAAGAGAAGGACGAGGAGGAGGACGAGGAGGCATCTCCTCAAATTCAACTTCCAGGCACTGCTTTCGGTGCCCAGGACCGCCACCGAGGGTACGGTGTGGAGATCGACCTCCCTGGCCGGCGTCTCCCCTTCGCAGAGGAAGGAGCACTGGGTGGATCGAGGCTCGAGGCATGAGACTCCTAGTTCTTGGGCGCTCTCCGCCCTTTGTGGGCACCGGAAACGGCAAGGCCGTTTTTTTTCACTGCTTCCAAAAAAAATGTCCCTTGAACATGGAAACGGCAAAAAAACGGCGACCGGAAACGGCATAAAAACGGCTCCAGGATTGGAACCGGAGCCGGAACCAGTCAAAAAACGGCGACGGAACCGGTAAAAAAACGGCGTCGGAACCGGCAAAAAAACGGCAAAACGGAACCGGTAAAAAAACTGCCCTGTTGTTTCCAGGGCCCACTAAGTCTCCGCCCCCTCTAGGCCTTCAGGAAGCTCCTCGTCGACGCAGCTGGGTCCACTCTCGAACTCCTGGCTGGACGCACCTCCGGCTGGGTCTCAACGATCCCCGAGCCTATCCACGGGGTGGAAAAGGAGGCCTGGGACAGGCCCCGCGAAGGCCCCAAGAAACCCACATAAGACCACGAAAAACTTCAAACCAATCCCCTACAAGGCCCCCCCTTGAACCCCACATGCTACGTAAGACAGGCCGAAACACCAAGATTGCCCAGCGATCGCGCGCGTTCCGCGAACTCCGTCTTTCACTCTTGCTGCCGCCCCCAAACGTCGGCGATGCGGCGTGAACCAATGAATCATCCAACCTTGGCGACGAGACCTCTCCAGGACGAGCAGCGGTCTCGGTACCGCTTCCGCCTCTTGCCCTCGCTTCGACCTGGACTCCCCTTGACTGCATACCAGACCGCACCCCAACCTAACCCGAAGACCCGCATTTCGGGTTGGGGGGGGATGGGTTCCACAGATGCTTTTTCAGTGTTCCCCGACTCCCCCCTCAACTGGAAATGGAGGGCAACTCGGGGCCTTCGGGTTGCGTTCGGGGTGGTTTGGTGGGCGGTGGCCCCCGTCCTTTCCTATGATCCTCTGGCCATCGCTCGGACGTCCATTCCCTGTTTTTTTGTCGGTTTCGTGCGTGTTTTTTTCGCCAACCGATCAAGGATGCTCCTCGATGGTCCTCGCCGAGAAAAAAAATGCACACGTCCAAGCGATGCCAGGTCCTGAGAACGCTTGTCAGCGCCATCGTGTGCTTGTCCACCGAGGCCCTTCGACGCGACGCAGCCGGTGCCACGAGGGCCGACACGGGCTGCGCGCCGTCGGCGGAGCCGAGCGGGGTGCACACAGTCTGAGGCTCATCGGCCTGTGGGGGGGCCACACGCGAGCCCTAGCCCTACCCCCCACGATTGCTGAGGGGGAGGGTGGGGTAGGGTTCGCATGTGGCCCCTGATCTGTCCCCTCGTTGGGAGTCCCCAGACCAGGTGGTGAGATGTCAGGTGGTGACCTGGAGTCCCCCCCGACGCCACCGCCGGGTTTTGGGACACGGGGTCACCGCCGGGTTCTCTGACTCCTGGAACCACCAGCGCTCGGGGCATGCTGGAAAAACCACGCGAAGCCCCAACAAAACCAGGTTGGTGGCACCAAACCGCCCGAGACTCACCACTGGGTGTTGTCACCACCACGTTTGGGGACTATCGGCGGTGGACAAACCTCCCTTTAGTAAACCTCCCCTTAGTAAAACGGCCTGGGACCGAACCCGACGGACCTGGACCCGCAAAAATGACGGTGGCGACGCCCTCTCGCGAACCGAAAACGGCCAATTCCTCAGCCTCTGTGGGCGGTGCACCGCCCCCCAGAAGGGTGCCCGCAGGGTCTCGAACTGGGCCATGAGCGAGTTGCACCTCTCGGTCAGGGCGCTCGCCTGGCGGCCCGGCCCTCGCCCCCCCCCCACCACGAGGGGCAACGGTAGAGGGGGGGGGGGGCATCGGCGAAGGGGGGGGGGCCCTGCTGACTGTCAGCTCCCCGCACCCCCCCTTCCTCAACAGGAAAATGAGAACGGTACAAGCATAACCTTTTTGTCGGACGTCCGCGCGAATCTCTTGGAAGAGGCACTGAACCCCCTCCCCTGCCGCCGATCCCAAATGACGGCGCGGACCTCTGAGAAATTCTGCCTCTGCAGCCTGCTTTTTCCACGGCCCGACCTCGTCTGTGTAAGCCGAAAACCAACCCAACCGACAGCCAAACCGAAACCAACCAAAACTGGCAACCCGATGGCGGCATACGACATCGCAGCGGTGCAGCAATCGACCGAACCGCATCGGCCGAGTGCAACTGACTGCGAAACCAGTCTCTCGGCAAGACGGACCTGCTGGAAAGCACCCCGAGGCTAGAAACCCATCAGCACGCAGAAAACATCAACGGCCCCAAACCCTTTGAGGTCCCCTGCGCGCCGGATTCTTCCGCCGACGCGCTCAGCATTGGATGCCCGCCGGCGAGAGGCCGCGTCGGGGAGGGCAGGCGTCGGTGACGACGAAGGCGCACACCCCCGATCATGGGCGATTGGGGGTCGATGGACTTTCCCCTGAGCCCATCCTGGCCTCACGTTAGCCCTCTGGCTTTCGGGCCATACTGCGGCTCTCTGGCGGCCGTTCGGGACGATCCGGGCACCCTCGGAACGCTCTCGGCGAGGCGCACGTGCCGAGGAGCAGCCCGAGGCTGGAAAGCCGAGATCCCACGAACATGCCGGAAAACCCTGAGCCTCGAACCTCCCGCATAACGTTGCTCCTGATCCTCTCCTCGGGGGCGTCCCAGAGCGGGCGTCCAAGAGGGGGCTTCGCAAATCATGAAGCTAAGGCAGATTTATCCCAAAGGGAGCACGATCAAAAACGAAAAGGGCAGATACCGAGGGTTTGGGGCTACGTGTTGAGTGGCACGCGGGCAACGTGAACAGAATACCCTTAAACATATGTTGTTGTTGTTGCTCTTGTTGGTGTTGCGGCTGCTGTTGTAATTGATGTTATTCTTGGTATTGGTGTCAACAACGGCTCCCGCCTGATACTTCCTCACAATGTATTCCCAAATCGCGCTCTCGCGCGGGAGTTACTCACAATTTATTCAGCAATCGCGCTCTCGCGTGGGACTTCCTCGCAGTGTATTCAGACGCCACGCCCTCGACATTCAGGAGTCACGCTCTCGCTGTGGATTTCCTCACGATTGTCTGGGGAATCGAGCTGACGCTCGAAACTTCCCAACGATTCATGCAGGATGCACGCTTGAGCAACCTGCCTGCTCGACCTGGCCGCCTGGGCCCTCCTCCCGACCCGCCTGGTAAGGTCTACCCGCCCGATCTGCCCGTCTGGTTCTGCCACGTGTTTTCTGCTCCTGGCCCGTGCTCCAACCGCCTCCCTCCCCCCTTCTGCTTCCTTGCATCCGTCCTCCTTTCCCCTGGGGGATACGAAATATATACCCCCGAGGGGGTACGGTCGAGGACGAAGACAGGTATCGAGGGTTCGGGATATTCGTTTTTGAATGGCACGCGAGCAGACAAGAGCGAACAATCCCAAACTCATTGATGCTGTTGTTGTTGTTGTTGTTGTTGCTGGTGGCGCTGGTGGTGGTCGTGGTGGTGGTGATGCGTTGTTTGTTGTTCGTTGTCGTCGTCACACCCGCGACCCACCGGCGACCCCCCCCGCGACCCACCCGCGATCCACCCGTGACCCATCCGCGACCCCGCGACCCACCCGCGACCCAGCCGCGACCCACCTGCGACCCACGCCGCGACCCACCCGCGACCCGCCAACGACCCACCCAAGACCCACACCGACCAAGCCGCGACCAAGCCGCGACCCGGCTGCGACCCACCCGCGACCTGGCCCGTGACCCACACGCGACCCACACGCGACCCACCCCGACCCAGCCGCGACCCAGCGCTGCGACCTGACACGCGACCCATACGCGACCATTCTGCGACCCACACGCGACCCACCCGCGACGAACCCCGCGACCACCTGTGACCCGCCCGCGACCCACCCGCGACCCACTCCGCGACCCATCCGCGACACAGCCACCCGCGACCCCCCCCCCATGACCCCTCCGCGAGCCATCCGCCGCGACCTGGCCCGCCACCCACCCGCGACGCACCCACCTTGCTTTAATGGAAAATTCGGAGCCTGCGGCGGCTTCGATGTACAACTGATAAAGAGTAGGCGGCCTGCGGCGGGCTTTTTTCAGAGCCTGGCAGACTGCCGCCGCCCCCGCCGCCCTCACTCTTGTCGGCAATTGCGGGGTGCTACGTATGACCAACCGTGGCATCCATAGCCCCCTATCCCCTGGCAGCCCCCTAGGCGATCACAATAGACGCCCTCGATCCCCGCTCTCCGGGCCCTGGAAACGGAAGGGCAATTTCTTACAGGCTCCATTTTGCAATTTTGTTGCCGGTTCCGGCGCAGCGTATTTCCTGGTCCAATAGCCGTATATCGTTCCAATTCCAGTTCTGGTTCCAATCCTGAAGCTGTTTTTGTTCCGCTTCTGGGGGCAATGTTTGCTGCGCGTTTTCGCGCTCCAGCAAAAATCTTTGGACAGCTGCTTTAAAACGGCCCTGCAAATTCCAGGGTCCACAAATCGGCTACGCGCACGAGTGACCCTAAGCAAGAGTGGCAGTTGGTGCGCCACTTTCTGGGGCCGTGGGTAGGCCAAACCTGGGAGCGCAAGACGCTGCTATCGCATAGCGTTCAGTCATCTGGGGACCCTGGTGTGCCCGCGCGAAAAATCACTCTGGCGAAAGGCCACTCTTACACGCCGGTCGGACGAAGTGGGTAGATACATGAAGCAGAAAGGCGTTGGAAGTAGATTGGGCTTACGCCCGCCCCCTGAGGAGCAGGGAAGAAGGAAACCCGTACCCGTCGATCCTTGGAGTGGGAAGGCGACTACAGTGTGGATTGGGAGATGGGGATCCAGAAGTGCCTACGTTCAACGACCGGCGAGTACGTGCAGCCGAACGAAACTCCGGTGGCCCGGCCCTGCCGACGCCCCGCCCGCGCCTGCTGACGGTACTCCTCCTTCTGCGCCGTCTCCTGGGCAGGGCGCGGCGCGGGCCACAGGCGCGCGGGCCCTCTCGGGGGAGGGCGGCCCATCGGCTGCTGCCTGCCAGGCTATGCGTCCTCCTCGCCTCCCCCCTCGTCGTCGTCGTCGTCGTCGTCCTCCTCCTCCTCCTCCTCCTCCTCCTCCTACTCCTCCTCCTCCCTCATCTTGCTCCCTCGTGGTCCCCCACCCTCGCGGTCCCCTTTTGCTCCCCCTCCTCCACTTCCGCGCTCTACCTCCTCCTCCGCCTCCTTCTCCTCCTACTCCCTCCGCCGTCCTCATCATCCTCGTGATCGCCCCATCCAGCGGCGACGAACGTCTTCGATGGCGGCCCACGCACAACGCGCGCAAACGAAGAATAAAAAACGACGCCAACGACGGCGAACAACGACGGACGCCGACCGCCGCCGACGGACGACGACGACGACGGCGACGACGACGACGATGGCGGCGGCGACGACGACGACGACGACGGCGGCGACGACGACGTCGAAAGCGACCACGACGACGACGAACGACGACGAACGAACGACGACTGCGCGGACGGCGGCCGACCGCCGCCGACGGCGGCGGCGACGGAAAGGCGGCGGGTGGCGGCGCGCTCGGCCGCGCTCTTGGCTCCTCCGAGAGGCGCTGGGCCGCGGCTTCGCGCTCCGCGCGCAGGGCGGCCACCTCGCCGCGCCGCGTCCGGGGCGGGCGCTCCCAGGGCCAGCCCGTCGTCGCCGTCGTCGTCGTCGTCGCCGCCGCCGCCGTCGTCGTCGTCGTCGTCGTCGTCGTCGTCGTCGTCGCCGTCGCCGTCGCCGTCGCCGTCGCCGTCGCCGTCGTCGTCGTCGTCGTGTCGTCGTCGCCGTCGCCGTCGTCGTCGCCGTCGCCGTCGTCGTCGTCGTCGTCGCCGTCGCGCCAACGCGGCGCGAACCTACCGTACAGATGCAGACCCCTCGCATCGTGAAGAAAGCCACCACGCACACATTGTTCTCTGCTTTTACCCTCGATTTTTTTCTCAAAAACGCTCCCCTGGAGATGTCCAGAGATCGAGTTTCGACTCCTGGACCCAGACCCAGACTCCCTGGCGTCGTGAAAAAGACGGCGCGACATTTTTCACTTATTTTGGCTTCCAGGGGGGCCTTACCAAGCGGGTGAGAAGCCAGTCCGCGGGAAAGAGACAAATTAATAGACACAAATCCGAAGATTCCCCACATGTTCCCATATCTTGTGTGTTTTCCCACATGTTTCGTGGGGTTATGGTTTTCTTCCCACCCGCGTCGCAACCGCGTCTTCCTCATACATCCGTCCTCCCTCCTCCTTATCCTCCTCTTCCGTTCTCCCTCCACCCACACAGCCGCACGCACGCACTCGCACACTTGCACACACACACACACACACACACACACACACACACACACACGCACACACGCACACGCACACGCACACGCACACGCACACGCACACATACACACACACGCATCATACCACGCTAGTGCACGCTTGGCGTGTTCACTGCATCATACACCCAAGACGTATGCGCAACATGTTGGGCACCCACATGAGACACACGTCCCGATACAGCCTGGCACCCAATACTTGTTCCCCAAATGTTTCGTGGGTTCATTTCCCACACGCTTAAGGGTTTCCTGTTTTCTTCCCACCCGCGGCGCACCCGCGTCTCACTCACTTCCCTTCCCCCTCCCTCCTCACCTCCTATTCCTCTGTCGCCTCGTCCACGCGCACTTCATGCACGGCACGCACATGAGGCACGCGTCTACATGCAGCCGCACGCATGCACACAGTCGCACACACACAGTCGCACACACACAGTCGCACACACACACACAGTCGCGCACACACAAACACAATCGCACACACACACACACCTACACACGCACGCACGCACGCACACACACACACACACACACGCACGCACGCACGCACACACACGCACGCACAGACACAGACACAGGCACAGACACAGACACACACACAGACACACAGACACACAGACACACACACACACACGCACGCACGCACGCACGCGCGCGCACGCACACGCACACGCACACGCACACGCACACGCACACGCACACGCACACACACACACTAACAACACCAATGTATGCCAGGCGTGTTCACTGCATCACACACCCACGACGTAAGCGCCACATACTGGGCACCGCAGGCTCGCAAGGCACGGCTCGCAGGGCACGACAGTCCTGGCACTGTGTTCTGCAAGGGGGAGCGCTGGGGGTGCGGTCTCTATGCGTTTCAGGCTCGCAAGGCACGGCGGGCGTCACAGTTCATCGACGTGACAAGGGGTGCGCGGGGGGTGCGGTCGCTATCCGTTTCGGGCTCGCAAGGTGTGGCAGGCGTGGCACTCTCTCGACGCCACAGAGGGCGCAGGGGGTGCGGTCGCTATCCGTTTCGGGCTCGCCAAGTGTGGCTGGCGCGGCACTTCCTCGATGCCGCAAGGGGGTGCCTGAAAGGGTGCGGCCGCTATCCGTTTAGGGCTCGCCAAGTGTGGCAAGCGTGGCAACTTATCGACGTCGCAAGGGGTGTCATGGGGGTGCGGTCGCTATCTGTTTCGGGTTCGCAAAGCATGGCTGGCGCGGCACTTGGTTGACGCCACAAGGGGTGCCTGAAGGGGTGCGGCCGCTATCCGTTGCGGGCTCGCCAAATGTGGCAAGCGTTGCAACTGATCGACGTCGCAAGGGGTGTCACGGGGGTGCGGTCGCTACGCGTCCCGGGCTGGGATAAACGTGGCAAGCGTGGCACTTTCTCGACGCCACAGAAGGCGCAGTGGCCGTTTCGGGCTCGCAGAATGCTGCGGCAAGCGTGGCACTTCCTCGAAGCCGCAAGGGGGTGCGCTGGGAGTGCGGTCGCTATCCGTTTCGGGCTCCCCACGTGTGGCAGGCGCGGCACTTGGTGAACGCCACAAGGGGTGCCTTAACGGGTGCAGTCGCTATCCGCCTCGGGCTTGCAAAGGGTGGCAGGCGTGGCAACTTATCGACGTTGCAAGGGGGTTCGCTGGGTGTGCGGTCGCTATCCGTTTCGGGCTCGCCTGCCTTGCCGCGGCGTGCGCCGTGAGCCTGCCCACCGCGTCAAAACTCGTGCGCCGTCCGCCTGCCTACCTGCAGCCCGGCTCTCTTCCGTGGCCGCCATG